ATGCTGATACCAGGACTGCTTCATTATCGGAAGCTGCTTCCTCTTTAGCTCGGCCGATGGATCAGGCCGACACCGTGGCCGCAACAGAAGGTCACCTGGCCCTGCGGCCCTAGCTGCTACCAAGCAGCTTGCTCGGCGGCCAGGCGCGACCTTTTCGTGTGATGTTTGCTATTCCGGAATAGTCATAAGCAGAAAACCCCAGATTTGTTCAATTATTGGGGGAAAGCCCGCACGATGTTGCCAAATGGTGCGTAGGGTCCGTCGCAAGAGAGAAAGCTTGGGCATTTACCATTGTAGAAGGAAAACCATACAACAATGCTGCATAATAATCTAAGATTCGTCGTGTAAGACTTTGAAAAGTAGGTCAAAAACGTTCAGACAAGAGTCGCCTAGGATGACTGTGAGTGTAAAGGGAAGTCTATGTGATTTATATAGGGTGCGAATGGGCGTTGCGCACGACGGTGCGTGAGATTAAAAATACAAAACAGAAAGTGTTCAACGGTGTATGAAGTGAAACAGGGATAGCATGAAGGTGGCAGTGGCAGGTGGCAGGTGGCGGTCAGGTGCGGACCTGATGCTTTCCGCTACTGCAGGGTGAAGTTGGCACGGTGCCAAATGCGCTGACGCAAGCGTAGTGTGTCTTATGGGTTGGCACGGTTTGCAGCTGCTAAGTTGGATCAGAACACACTACAATACCCTCCCAAATGTTTCCATTGGTAGGTTCAGCACACTTTGGCAACACTCGGGCGATGCTGGATGGTCTTCATCCTTCCGGGAGGATGCTAATCGGCCATTGATGACGTGTTGACGTTGTGAGCTAATGATTGTTCAGCGTTTTTGTGCAGTATGCCAGAGATAGATCCAACCGTCCCAGCAGCTTCAGGTCCGAGCTGATGGACTCCGAGCGTTGTGGGTTAGTTGGCCTGAACCATCATTGGCTGTCAGCTATTGCGTTCAGCATCGGAGGATGCGGTCTGCTAGCTGGTAAGCGCCACCCACGCTGTGAGAGATCCAGACTGACACACCGAGCGATGGGTGCCGTCTCAGTTCCAGCTGGTCATGAACGGAGCTCAGTGTGAGCCCGATGACGTTTTCACTTGCCTGGGGTTTGCTGGAAGCGCTGCCGGCTGGGTGTGAAGGGTCGAAACCAGAGGCGGGATTAGCTCCTTGTACCGCGACACTTTTTGGATCTCTCAAGTGGGTCAACAGGGATTTTTAGCTGTTTTATCGCATCAGCACAAGACGACCTTTAATAATATGCATTCTTGACGGAAGTTTCTGTATATAGTGATGTCATTTATATTTCGTGCTTCCACTTTCCCTTCCGATGTTCGATGAGCGGAGCGTTGCTGCTGATCCTGACCTCAGCGACTCCGCCCTCCCGGCTGATCATGGTGCGGCGCGGGGGCTCCGAACACTCTCGATTTTAACGTGCCCGCTATGACAGCGCTGCATCGCTAGGTCTTCCCCGTCATATCATGTTTGGTATATTTCATGAGGCATATAACTTACAGCTGCTGGCGTCGTGATCTCGCCTGCCAGATGTAGCGGAGAGCTGGACCACAGGGAACAGTGAGGGTCGTGGCCGTGTAGCTGAAGGCATAGGGAGCTCAGAACCCCCCGCCCCCCCCCCCGCGGCCCCACCCACCTGCAACATGTTCAGCAGTCGAGACGCTGATAATGGCTGTGTGTGGTTTGCGTCCATGTTAATGACACGAGAGCTACGTTGCTTCAGCTTACGCTACAGCCTGTGAACCTAGATTGGCGTGCGTTCACGGAAATATCCCAGTCGCGAACGCGTAGTATCAAACAAGCGGACAGGCCCACCATAGACAGTGCATCAGTAGCCGTATGTGTCGGTCGCGCTCATAAAGGAATGTCTGCTCTAGGTTACAGTTGTGAAAAGATCTTTGCTGAACAAAGCCTTGTTTTATGTTGGCATTTCAGCCTTCTCACGTGGAGACAACTCCACGCTGCAAGGGTTCCTTCGAGACTCAGCATAAGTTGTCAAGCTTTTGGCCGCTTTGACTCACCTGGCGGCGTGTGCTGAACTACTGGTTTGCTGATTTGCCATTAGATGCTACTAGCGAGCAAGCGGGAACGAATTCGACGTCTGCATTGCAACATGGGCGGCATTACATCTTTGGGGTTGTGTTTTACATGCTGTTCATTGAGGAAGTTGGGGCTCCAAAGATCAATGGGCGTGCATTCTCTGCCTTAAGTGTACGTCTTTTTAAAAATTATGTTGCATTCCCTTGTTGATTTACCGCGCGTCTTTAGTTTCAGTCTTTAGTTTTGCTTCGAATGACTTTCGTGCAAGTTAAAGTTACATCCTTCCCACCAAGGAAGATATCTTGAGTTTGTCACGTTGCCCACCAACACTGTTGTATAGGGCCTCAATAAGCAACGCCGCGGCGATTTTGGGCTCAAGACACGCTCTGCTGAGCGCGCCTACGAGGGCTTGTCCACGTTTCCACCGTCTCAGTCAATGACTTTCTTCCCACATGCAGAGGCCACGGGTTTATCACCGTACTGCTTCACACTCGCAGACCGAGACAGCTGACGTCGACACACATGCTAGCGATGACCTTGCCGAACCGGTCCCTCCACCAACGGATGGGAGTGGCCGAGTTTGATATGGTTTACCAAGCGGTGGGTGAATGTCAGCGAGGTAACATGCGTTGGCCGAGCCGGAGCGGACGGGCTTGGGTTGTCATCAGCGTACCGGCTAGTGACCAGTACTTGTGTTAGTCTTCACTGTGAAGCACCTACAGCCCGCGTTCTACAATGCAGCGTTCCCGCAGTTTAGGCTGGGTTGTGCCAGACAACTGGGTAATAGGGACTGCACCCAACTCTAACCAGCAATATGGCCAAGGTCTGGTTACATTGTCAGTGCTAGATAATTACCCAGAATTCGGATAGGCAAAAATCTTTTGGATTAGGGGATAATGTTCTTGCCAAAAAAATTACACCTCGAACGAAAGCGCATGTTTTTTTACTAGCGTTGGGGTCACGTGCCTCTCGCCTCCTTCCTCCCCCAGATACGTTCTTGTTTTGAGCCTCGGAGGCAGCTTAAAATAGCCCAGTTCAAGTGCGTTGCCAGCAATATAGCTTAAACAGGTTGCGCACCGTGTTTAAAGTACATTCGCCCGGTAGACCGCATCACTCAGGGACAGCGATGCCACGGTGCCGATCTGTGGGTGTCAGTCTTGTGTCTGTCTCGGTGACAGGGCGTCGGACCTTGCCGTACGCCTCCCGCTGCTGCGAGCGCGCCGGCCGTATGACGAAGGATGGCGCGCCCGGCCGGAGACGGCGCGCAGGTTAGGTTAGTATGTAGCCAGAAGTGTGTACATTGTGTTTGGCTTGGTGATGGGCTGATGTGTAGGAATCCAAGGTTTTTCTGTTGGAGTGTCTTATGCTTGTGGCTTTTTTGCTGTTATTTTGTTATTGAATTCGTTTGCTTTCTTTTGTTTTAAAAAGACTGTGGAAGGGAATAGAAAGTGCAGCATCAAATTATTGGTGTTTGTAATTTGTTACGGTCATAATACTGTCATGAAGTTATTGTGTTTTAACACGCGCCCGGTTGGCCGGCTAGATACCCTTCGCTCAGGGTGGGGGGGGGGGGGGGCAATTTGACCCCCTGAGATCTCGGGAACTAAGAAAGCTAGATACACCAAATTTACAAAATGTCTTGACCCATACGTGAATTCACTTAGGTCAGGGTTTCAGCTTCCTAGGTCATGACCTTCAAGCCAAATAAGATCAAGCAAGGTCAAATTCCAGGTTGTCTCCAAAGCGCCCCCATAACCAAGGCAGCTGTCTCTAAGCCAAAGGTCACTGGTCCATTTGAGGTCATTGACCTTGTTTGACCCTTTGAAGGTCATGTCGACCAAAATGATACAAGACTGCTCTGCGTTTTTTAATTTGAATAAGCGACAAAGATTGCGTTGGGCAGCATGCTCCTAAAACAAAACGTTCGACCCGGGTCATCTTAGGTCAATGGCCTGTTCTGACCTCTAAAAAGTCGACTGAAGATCTATAATGCGGTTCCTGCTGTCAATGAATTCGAAGTGAGCACCAGAAACTATTCCATACAGCAAGCCCTAGCGTAATAAATCAGGTTGGTTTTGACCATCATACCTGACCTTAGGTCGACGTATTTTGCTCATTTAATATCTGTGGTGCCTGAGAAAACATCTCAGAGATGTATGTCTTCGTCACACACTCCGTTGTCATATCAGATTGAACGATTCCCTAGAAATTGCCCTTGCTGAAACCATAGGCTGAGTTTGACCTGTCTTAGGTCAGCGACCTTACAAGGTACATATAAAATTTACATGTCAAACGATCCGCTATGCAATTTTCTACAGCTATGCAAAATTTTGCGCAACTACGCCGCGCCGTTCAGAAAGCATTCGGGGAAAAGTCCTTTGGGGGGGGGGGTCAATTTGCCCCCACCCCACCCGCACCCGAGCGCTTGTTAATGTATTTTGCTTCACTTTAATGGCCTCGGATGCTAAAAAACGAAATAGTTTTGTCAAGTTCCTGATATTACGTCCAGGGCAACTTGAAATAGATGTCCTTGTTTGCTGCAGCATTGGTCACGAGCTCATAAGCTCTATCTTTTGTGAATTGATTTTTTCACTCCCGCACGGTATTTGCGATGGAGTTTTTTCCCCCACCCTAGTTTAAAAGCGATTCTAGCTCCCTGTGCCTATGCGCCTCCGTATCAACATGCTCAGTTCATACGGGACGCACCTGCACGGCGTTCCTCGGCTTGATTCGGTGTCACTTGTTTGCGCCCTCACGAGCGTCCGAGAATGACTCACAACAGGGGGTTTTCATTATGGTAAAAGGATGTCATTGCGAATGGCGTGGTCGAAGACTCATGTTAAATCCTCGAGGCACGCGGCTTCTGAAGGATTTGGAACGTATGGCTCGCGTAGAGCCCAGCCTTAGTGGCGACATGTTTCCTCATTTGTTAAATCGGTAAGACCGCGATGGTATGTTTCACCGACTACATCATCGTATTCTGTGGTGTCTGGGAGGAGTGTTTTACACGTGAGGTGTGAAATAATGTGGAAATAAATTCTGCAATGCGCATAATTTTGCTAGACCTGCTCTTAGCACGCCAACAGACTTAACCGTTGAAAAGGTGACGGATGTTGTGGCAGCTTAGCGAGATTCTAAACATGTCTCCAGCAAATATAATCGCATCAGAGCACCGATTGCTCTTAACGTTCGGCTCCATTTGGATGTACGGTGATGCAGAGTGTTACTGTCAGGAATGTCATGTGACGTTTGCACTCGGCATCTTTCAACCCAAATCTGCGCGCGGGGGTTTTTGCTCGCTGTGACTTGAGTCAGGGATTAATCGCATTGTCTTCAGGGTTCACGTCGCAGCGTGGGCGAATTATATGCAGCTACTGCAATCATTCTCGTTCAAGCCAAGGCACCATGGAAACAGTCACTCAGAGCCGGGTCAGCCGCGAGGTGGTCTCTTGTGCCACGAGCAGCACACCAATGCGATTCAATACTTCTCTTTAAAAGCTGTTCTCAGTTTCAAATCACACAACCCTTACATCCGACATTTCCGGGGACCGCGAGGTGATCCCGTTCTGTGTGGTTGGTTTTTTTAGCCTACTAGTCCCACCCATCGTGCCATGTGGTATGTGTTCCTCGTTGATTAATTACGACGTAATGTCACGCCATTTACACTGTCATGTGGTCGAGAACGTTCCCATTTGAAAGCGGTATGTGAGGTGAAAACGTGTCTGATAGATGTGAGGAAAATGTTCACGTTCAGTATGTGTGAAAATAGATGTTGCGGAATTTGTTCAGTAGATGTAAAAGGACTCACAGAAATGCAAGACTGCTGTTGCTCGTGCGCATGAACGCTGGTGTGGAGTGGATGTTGATGAAGGTGAAATGCTGGTCGACAGCAGCTGTAGACTGATACGATTTGAGGTCTAAAGGTCGCAAACGATAGGTCAGAATACGGACACGGAGAGCAGAAACTACCAAGAGCCGCAAAGTCCCTTTGTCTCGAGAGTTCTATGGAAAGGGTATATGGCATTTGAGGCTATTATAAACAAAACAAAAATGACGGATCTGAAAGAAAGTGACAAGGACCAAGCACTTTTTAAAATTGCTATAGTATTCACACCATACTCCAGCCTTACGCTATGCACAGTCATACCACCAGATCATAATCCATACAGATCATACAGTCACAGTCGTGCATGACAATGCATACATCATGTCGTGTACCACTTCGATGCCGCACTACCAGAACATAGCACACATGAAACTGCCTGCTCTTCTTTCCAGGCAAAACACAAACACACACACACACACACACACACACACACACACACACACACACACACACACACACACACACACACACACACACACACACACACACACACACACAAAAGAACCGACGAAAAGGCTGCTGCTGGCCGACAAACGTGGGCGTCGTGCGACAGCGCAGCAAACACAAAACAAGGCGAACGTCATCATTGAGGCCATGAGCATCAGGAACTCGTTCGTCAATAACATCTTCGAGCGCATCGCCGCCGAAGCCTCTCGCCTGGCCCATTACAACAAGTGGCCGACCATCACGTGGCGGGCGATCCAGACGGCTGCGCGCCTGCTGCTGCCCGCCGAGCTGGCCAAGCACGCCGTGTCGGAAGGCACCGAGGCCGTCACCAAGTACACGAGCAGCAAGTAAGACGCCTCGTGCATCTTTGCTGATCACATCATCATCATCACCATTATCATCGCGTGATCGGCGGGAGAATGAACCATTCATACGTTTACCGGATTATTTTTATGTAGTGTTCCGTCGGTATGCTTTTTAAGTAGAAATAACTGCTGCGGACAGCACAACTCTCTCTCTCTAGTAAATATACTCCTAAATGTGTCATGGTTTGATTACGTCATCGCACCTTGCACAGCATTGTGCAAGGTGCGATGCACAACCTTGCACAACACTTGCACATGAGAGCCAATTGACTGCCGTTTTGTCTAGAAGTCGGGCTCACCAACACCAGATATGAACGCATCGACAATTCCATTTTTCTTCACACTGATTGCCGTATAGCATATGAAATGACAGGAGTTGAATGACGCTATTATGACGTGATGAATGCCAAGGTGACTTTAAAATACTCTCCCCGATATGTACCTTCCCCATTTTCGCGAGCGTTCAGGTCAGAAACTACAGGGGCTTAGATCTTAAGGAGGGCACGATTTTGAACAGCACCGAAAGTTCTTCAAGATGGTTATTTCAGTCCAAAATTCGATGTAAGTGTGAGACATTCCCTATTTGTTAATTGCTATTTGTGTTTTTTGCTAACTACACGTCGTATGCCTATAATTCCAGACAATGCATGCCGCCCTGTTATTATTATTGTTATTGCGAACCCTGGCGAAATCCAGCGAGTGGCTATTCTAACGCCGCGTCAGTACATATCACATAGATAAACACAGAACACGCAACACATGCAAGTGGGACGCCACGCCAGCGATACACATGTGACGTTACAAAGCATGAGCGACTAATGATACAATCAGCACCTGCACGTCATAGCCATTTGGCCAATTTAGGTAAGTTCTCTGATGAAAGACATTGCTTTGCCCTTGAACTCATTCAAGTTTTTGCATTGGCGCGTGACGGCAGGGAGGCGATTACACCCCACCGCAGCTCGAAAAGGAAGTGCCCTTTTCACGCACTCTAAGCGAGGGTGTTTTACAGCGCTCGTCCGCAGTACAGTCCCGTCGCCGGTGGCTCCGGTGTGCCGCTGAAATACTTCAGATCGGCGCCTGGTCACATTACTGATAGCCCGCGGCCCATAAGGGAAGTAAATGGTGCGATGCAAGCATTTGCAGTGGATGACAGTTTCGTCGAAATTGGGTCAATTCAGCTGTTTCGGGATTCCGTGGATGTGATCTCGTCTGCGTTTACTGGCAGCAGTTCTAATGGCGAAGTTAATAGCCTTATCCAGGCGCTGGCGCTGAACGGCTGTTGTCGGGGCCCACGCAAGTGTGCAATATCTGGTGTGAGGGAAGACCAGTGAATCAACTAGGGACTTTATTGTGGAGCTGGCAAGCAAATGCCTTAGCTTGTTAATAGCTATCAGGGAGCCAAAACAGCGCTGAGTAGTTTTGGCCGTTTGATGCTGCCAGTTGACGTTTTTATCGATGAGCACCCCTAGTGTTTTGATAGACTCTGAAGGCGACAGCTGGGAGTTATCGAAACTCACACTCAGTCCGGCGGATTTGCGGGTGTTGGTGTGCCAGCAACAATGAACTCAATTTTTAATAGGATGATCTTCATGTCATTGTGACGAAACCATACTGAGACTGCAGTCAGATCGGACTCAACACACGAACGAAGCTGTGCGAAACCACATGCAGATGGTAATGATTCATGCATGAGCTGCATGTCGTCTGCATATGGCACCAGTTTACACGTAGCTGAGACATAACACTTGATGTCAATAGTAAAGAGGAAGGACATCAGCGGTCCTTTATGCCGCCCTGAACCACGAAATACGCGACCTCAAGACTCGGCCCGTTTCCTCCCTTCCCACTCTGTCAGCGGTCGGTGAAATAATCCGAAAACCAGTGAGGTGAAATACCGTAGCACTCCAGCTTGGCGAAAAGAGCACAGCGGTCTATACAGTCAAAGGCTTTTGACAAGTCAGTTGAGCTAATGGTGGTGACCATACCGGCGTCCATGTTGTCGTTTATGTGGCTGACCATATCGATGACTGCATGCCCAGTGGAGTGGTGAGGACGGTACGCGTATTGTGAGCCAACAAGAGTGTGGTGACTAGTCACATATTCTAAAAGCTGGTTACAAACAACCTTCTCCGTCAGCTTGCTTACAACACTGAGAACGCTGATGGGCCTGTAATTCGACGGCTCAGACGCAAGTCCCCCCTTGTGCAGAGGCACGATTGTCGCAAGCTTTCAGATTGGACGGGACGCTACCAGTGGTGGTAGAGTTGTATACAATGTGTAACAGGTGAGGACCAACCACTCCAAAACACTTCCCGAGCACAGATAGGCATGCATTGTCCGGGCCTACTGCCTTGGAGTTGCTCATGCGGCGCAGCGCGAGACGAGACTAAGCTCTGACAGGGTGACCGATCTGACGCGGAAAGTGCCACTGGCCACCCTTGGCAGCCGCAGAGGCAGGTTCGCACCGGATTCGCTGCTCAGGGTGTCGGCAACACGCTGTCCCACTGCGGCGAAGTATTCGTTGAATTTTTCAGCGTATGTCGGGTCCAGAGTGTTGGTGGATTTTGCCAGTTTGTTAGCGACGACGTATTTCTCCAGCTTGCACCACGTTTTCTTTGATGTTTCGGTAGGGTCACACTTGAAGAAGTCAGCTTTCGCAGGCCTGAGCCGACTAGTGAATTCCTTTTTAAGGGCCCTGTACTGACGTTTGGCCTCGTCCGTCTTCGTGACGTCACGCGCGCACCGATCGGTGTCGCGCCTAGCCTGCAGGCCGTGCAGCTCCTCGCTACCGCTCAACCATGGACACTCGGGACGGCGGAAGCTGATCGTCTTGACAGGGCAGTGAGCGTTGGCGTGCAGGTTCCAGATGTTCACGAACTCGGCGTATGTGTCATCGGCAGACGTGGCACTGTAGATGGGTCGCCAGTCAGCCAACAACAGGTCGGGCATTAGGTGGCTGAAGTCGGTGTTCGTTGTCGATCTGACTATAATGTGCCGCTGGGTAGTTTTAACATTCGTGAAAGGTGCGTCCAGAGTGATAAGGTCGTGATCGGTTATGTGGCATGTAATCACTTTGGCGTGATGAGCGATATCAGGAATGTTGGTTATGATGTGATTGACGAGGGTGGGAATGGCAGCTTGGCTGTGTCGATTGCCGAACCAGCTGATGAAGTCCCAGGTCGTGCAGCATGGTGACGCACTGCTGTACACCGGGCTTGTTTGGGTTCAGAATGTCAAGGTTGAAGTCAAGGCTTGTCCATGCTCATCATGTCCTCTATCTGGTCACGGAGGTCGGCCAGGGAGTCAGGTGGTAAGTCCGGGGATGGCAGGCTGTACTTTACTGTATTTTAAGACACCATGTTGAATTTCGTGAGGAGCCCCTTCCATAACTTATTTACCACATGACATTCGTATGTAAGATGGGCTTGCGTGTCCGTTTGATTACAATGTATATATTGAGGGCCGTCAGTAACATTTAGAATGTGTAAGTATCGCCGCGTAGATATGTATCTGCGGAGCAGCCTATATTGCAGTGATTTCAATGTTGTGGACTTAGTACACTTGAACGCAGTGTTGTATATATTTTTCCAACTATCAAGTTGCCATTTACCAATTTCTATTCCATGTTAAATTACCAGGACCAGGCGCATTTTAGCTGACAAATTTGTGCTTAAAGAGGGTGCCCCACCTTTGGGGCATATTCAAAAGCATACTCCTATGAACCATCACGACTAGCCACGTCTGGTAATAGCACTAGGTAGTGGTACTCCAGCACCGTCAAGAGTAAATAAGGGTGTCAAGTTGAATCTTTTTCGAGTCAAAATTACACTGTCGCCGCCTTGTAACAGCACCACGCTTCTTCCCTGCAGTCGCAACCACCGTACTGCTGGTGCGAATAAAAGAATGCTTGTGAGTGACCAAGGGAAAGGACGTGTTGCCTGAGAGATTGGTTGGTTGAAGTTTAAGCCAGTGCATCGAATGGATCATGTGATTCTTCCATTCCCCAAAGAAAAGTGTGTCTCGGAAGGAGTCACTGTGGAAAACGCCAAGGGAGACAGGCGTGAATCAAGCTTCTGATAACTTTAACTTTCCCGTAAGTTAACTTCCCCCCGGCCGGGCGCGGAGTAAAGAGCAGTATTCTTGCAATGGTGTTATGATTGCCAGGCAGCTTAGAGTATACCTGTGTTAAAAGATATGGTGCATATTTATATTGCTGTCATTTGCCAGTCGCCAGGACCTCAATACTTGCCCGGTTGACCGGTTCAATATCCTTCGCTAGGGTGGGTGTGGAGGGTCAATTTTACCCCACTCTGAGATTTTAAAAAAAACTGTAAGAGCTAGTGACACCAAATTCATGCCGTGTTTTAGTCTGAACATGAAATCGCTTGTGTCATAGCTTGAGACTCGTTAGCTATTAGCGGCCAAAGTAGGTTATAAAATTCTGACTCCAGATTGGTGTCCAAAGTGACCCCAGACCTTCTCATGCAACCACCGTGAGCCCAGATACCTGTTTTTAGCAAAAGATCACTGGTGTTCATTTAAGGTCGATGTCCTTGTTTGACTATTAAAAAGTCATGGTGACTAAAAGCATGCAAGACTGTTTTGATTTTCTTTATTTGAATAAGCTTCAAGGACAACGCTAGGTGATATGTTTCTAAAAACAAGATGTTAACCTCGGCCACTTAAGGTCAGTGGCCATTCTAACCTTAAGGAGGACCATGGAAAATGCATGATACGGTTCCTGCTATCAGTAAATTCAAAATGAGCACCAGAAACTACTCCAAGCAGCAGGCTTCAGACCAAAAAACAGCTTGGTTTTCACCTTGTTCTGACTTTGATACCTGACCATAGGTGAATGGACTTTGTTAATTCAATTGTCGTGCTGCTTCGGAAACTATCTCAGAGATCCATGACTTCGTCTAGCACTCCGTTGTTCTACGAGGTTTAACGATGCCCTCGCATTTGCTGAATCAGTGATCTGGCTTTAACCTGCTGTAGGCCAGTGACCATACGCGGTATATCTACATGGCTTTATACTGCAAGATTTTCTGTTCAGCTGTCTGCAGCTGTGCAAAATTTAGCGCGACTACGCCACACCGTTCGGATATAATCCGGAAAAAAACCTCTGGGGGAGGCCAAATTGACCCCCACCCAAGCGCGTGTTAAATCAACTTCTTACCTACTCTTCGGCTAATCTCAGAAACACAGAAGAATACCTGGCAAGACCTATAGATCAGTTCCCAGTCCACCAACTTTCACGAAACGTCACGGTCTTCAGCATCGAAGTTGTCATCCTGTATGGCAGCATCCTACTGGTGACGGCTGTATCGGCATTCACCGAACTTGTTGTCAACACCACAACGTTTTTGAAATTTGCGGTTTCACACCAACAGACATCAAAAGACTTCTTGCATCTCTCCAAAATAACACGCTCAGCTTTGATAATGGCTTCTACAAACAACAATTCGGCATTGCCGTGTGCAACGAGATGGCACCGCACTTCCCTTCGCAACCGCCGTGAGCAACCATCTTTATGTTCAAACCTGAAAAAGCTGCCATTAAAAACGCGAGCCTAAAACCCTTTTTTGCGCCAGGTGCATCGGTGATTCCATAGGAGTCTGGATTCACTCTCAAGATGAGTTGCTGGACTTTTTACCATTTTTTATTCACATGCTTTTCACCTCTGCTCAAAACAACAACACGCATAGGCACACGCCTGCCAAGTACAGTCATGAGCCGCTGCTGTCGGCGCCGCTCCGGGACCCGCCGCAGTCAACCACGAGGAGAGGCGCCGGCGCGGCTCAGGGCAGCTGCTGAAACAACAACAAAAACCATCCGCTCATGGCAGACCACAGCCCATGCCCCAGGAACACCAAACATGGAACATTCGCGCATGAGGCCTCAGTGTCACTTTTCGTACGTGTCGCCTTTTGGGCGGCCGAACATGCTCAAATTTGCCCAGTGGTCGTTATGACCGAGATTTGTTCCACCTTCCGATCCTCGCTTAGTTCTCGAGCAAAGCCGTCTTGGCGTAAAGCCCATTCCTTCAATATAATTGGCTACCAATCGTTACACATTGCCGTGGTGGCACGTGGTACGTGCGACCACCACCCATGTACGGTCATACGATTCCCTCTTGAATTGTCTACCAAAACATGTCAGCTTACCGAGGTGTGAGCGTGGTTCAGAGCGGCCGCTCCAATGTTTCAAGCGGCTCACATCCTCTCGCCGGCAGCTTTACACGGGAGTTCGCAAAATCCACGGGCCAATACAGCACCCTGCAGCACGTGCTACGCGCTGCCGGCCGGTCGCATCACCACGAAGCATGACACCGTACGCTGTCCGGTGCACTCGCGCATCATCTCAAATTTTCATCACCCAGCGACCTGTCGTCTGGCCAGGGCACGACGCAACGACAAGTCGTTTGGCCCGAGCGCGACGCAACGACCCATCGTTTGGCCCGGGCGCGACGCAACGTAAACTGGGGCAGACAAGCAGGCAGACAGCGCACCCTAAGACCGTAATATACAGAGTTTCCACTGGTGGCATGCCTTTTTCCAGGAAAATGATGCTATAAGTACGTTTGTTTTGTTTAAAGTTGGCATACACATGCGTTTCTTCTCTGTGAAATATGTGCATGCCTTACAACATGTCTTACAACAGTCATACACCGCCGGCACACAGTACTGTACCCTTACGTCGGCTTCACATCCGATTCGGCACCGTGTTGAGCGTGTCCAGTGTGTTTGGCAGCCTGTAGAGGCAAAGCATATCTGTGCTAAAAAGATGGCTGGTTTCACTTCGGTATATTACTGGCACCTCACAGGAAACAACCCACAAAGACATAGAACAGCACACGACACAAAATAGCGGTATCTTCTGACGATTGGATGGACGAGATCCTGGAAACTGGTGCTTAAACCAAACATCTGTTGCAAATTTCGGAGGCATACATTAACAGCAATACACAGCTTTAGTTGCGCCAAGGAAACAAACTTCTAGTAGAAGCCACCGAAGCCGTTGCCGCCGTAGCTGCCGTAGCTCTCCGGATATGTGGCCGTACCGCCGTAGCGACCGTCGTAGCCGTTCCAGTAGTTGTTGTAGCTGCGGCCCGAGCTGGAGTACCCACCCAGCGGGCCGGCGAAACTGCAAATGAGCCGCGCAGTCAAGAACATAACCGACGTTTTCGTACGCGGTGTCTGCTGACTACAACAATTAATTGACAGATTTAGCTGAAACAGAGCGAGACACAGCGCCCCACTGCATCCGGGCGACAGACATGAAGAACATACAGAACACAATCAAAAACGGGGCAGCTGGTCACTAATAAGTCATTGCCTCATCTTCCGGGCTATTCTGCGCTTCTCTTCCATGATTGGTATTGCATGAATCTGCATGCCGTTGGTCACCAGTGGCGAGCAAAGACGACAGCTTAACTGCAAATAGGCATACCATGACTGTAAATGGGCATACCATGACTGTAGATGGACATACCGTGACAGCAAATGGGCATACCATGACCGCAGATGGGTATAACATGACTGCAGATGGGCATACCTATGGGACATACCACGAGCTTAGAGCAGAAGTAACGATGATGCATGCGAAATGAAGCATTAGTTACCTTGTTACCCTTCGGAATTTTCACTGGGTGGTTACGCCCGGCAACACGGGGGAATGAGGGGGGGGGGGTATGGGGGACACATTATTTTGTCCGCTTCTAATATATGGAACCTGCTGGAGAGCAGTAAATGTCTCGGTTGTTATATTCACGTGCAATTCATTTCCCAGTGCGCACAATTTTAACTCCTTGAACTGATCTGTGTCGTTTGGGAAACAATTTGCTAAATATATGTGCGTCCCTCACGATCATTTTCACTGGAGAGGCGGAACGCGACGGCTCACGACGGCCTTTGCCTCTCCAGTTGATGCGTCAGGTATGGCCTGATGCTAGCCAGCACCGTACCGAACTGGACAGCAGAAATCAGCACGTACCCTCCGGCGTACCCTCTGAAGCGGCCGTCCAGTCCGAGTCCGCCCAGCCGTCCGTAGCGTCCGAAGTCAGAGTATCCTGCCGGTCCGAGGCCGTAGCCGGGACCGAAGCCGCCAAACCGGCCCTGGTCTGCCGTCTGCGCCAGGCAGAGGGCCACCAGCAGAGCCAGCGTCAGGCTGAAGACGACTGCTCGAGACATGACGGAGCTGCGGTCGGACTGAGCTCGGGGTGAGGTGCAGGTGTGTGTGTGGTGATGCCGACACCCGACACCGCTCTTATACCCGCCCGCGGGGAACCGACCCCCCAGCGCACGTTCTCCCACGGCTGACGCCTCGGGGCATCTAAGACCATCCGGTGTCCCTCGACATGCCCGCCGACTCGTGGGGTGAGCCCACTGTCCGTGACCTCTGCCGATCGTTCGACATCAGCGCCCAGGGTCAGGTACCGTCTGCGGTCAGCCGTGTGCTCCCTGCCGGGTGCCGGGACGGACAGAGAGACTCCTGTGACCCTGCACAAACCATGATCCAACCGCTGACGCCTCCCGGTCTCGCCCGGCCGTGGGAAGCGCGCTAATTGGCTGCCGCCGCTGCACCGTAGCCAATTGGCGGCCGGTGCCGCATTCTGAGAGGCGGTCGAGACTGGTGCGAACCGGATTGATGGAAGTCTCAGCGGAGGCCGTATACTCGAGAGCGGAGATTTGGCCGTAAACCCAGCGGAAAGGCTCAGCACTCTAGAGCGTAGCTCCACTAGAAGATCTTTTGAAGAGTTCGTGATTTGAGAAACGACTTTTTCATCGCAAAAATGAGTGCGCACATTTTCACAAATTGGAAGAGGCATCGGCTTTCTCAGGATCTTGACCCTGTGCGCACATAAAAGTAGCATTAAACCCAAACTGTTGATCGCAAAATCGTGCCATGTTGCGTTCAACAAAGTGGGATAGGGAATCAGGTCTAATATACTAAAGCAAGACTTCTAGTTTTTATATTTTGACGTTTTTATCAAGCTATTGTCCAATAGACATGTGAAGAGATGGGTGGGCCAGTGAAGGCACCACAATTATATATTTCTAAGGGGTTTAATATATACTCTTGTGATTTATGGACATAATGGCCATGGGAGTCTGCCCGCTCCATTCGCCGGCTGTTTTCAGATGTGATGACTTAGAGTCCGTTGGCTGCCGAGTAAACGGGAGCCACCAACGAGTGGCACGCCGGGCCGGCAGATAAGTTCTGTCAATCCCACCCATCTACCAGCAGGGCTACTGGCCGTGCCTATCAGCAAAGCGAACATTCTCAGAACGCCTGCCTGAATAACTGACCAGTCGATATTTACCAGCTCCAGCAAACTGTGCAATGCACAAGCCATGCACTCGAAATTTATGTTCCGGCATAGTAAGCAGCGATTGTTTTGATTTGTAATCGGTAAGTTATACCGTTTGCTGTTCTCTCTCCATAGTAAAAGCATTTATGCGCAAAGCAGCTACACAAAAGGAAGGTGCCCTTCAAAATTAAACTTCATGAAATAACCGCACGAACCCAATTCTGCGCAGCATGTAAAACTGTGATTCGCATGACATTATGTTTGTCGTGAAAACTGTCATTCTTAGTGGAAATCCTACAAAGGCTGTCCCCGAGAATAAACAGAAGACGTATCTTCAGCTACTTGCGGAGTTTTCATTGCCGCGGCTTTCCCATTCCAAATTCTTGGGTACACTACCTATCTAGAGCCACTTCAAAAACGTTGCTGCACGCAGGCCCTGACTGATGTGTTGTGGACACTGGCAGACATTGATGACGCCACGTCAGCACGGCCGGGCCGACCAACGGCCTCTCACTGCTGCCAGGGCCACGTTCTTTAAGAGCCAATGAAAGGCCATTCTTTACTTCGGCATGAACCTATTCTTTGCCTATGACATCACAGCCCAAGCCCGCTCCTACTCGGCCGAGAGGCGAAGTAAGCGCGTTTTTTACAAGTAAGTCGGCAGTACTAACATAGCAGCACATAGCAACCGTCGATGCGCTGTTGAAGGCCTTGTACGTCCGACAAACAGGCAAGTCTCGATCTCATGTGGAAAGTGCGATCGAAAATAATGTGCTTAGCTATATATCGCCTACCAATATTGGGTATAATTATTTAAGTTATTTGAATAAAATTCACATGCGCCATTGCTGCGCGCCATAGGTCTTCACGGGGTTAGGATCAGCTGATTCCGCCTGTGCCCATGTTTGGAATTGAGGGCATTCTCCACTGCCGTGTATCTATAATGTCCCATCAGTGCGCGGAGCTCAAGTCGTAAGTCAATGGCGAACTGGGCTCAGAGTCGTAAGTCAATGGCGAACTGGGCTCAGAGTCGTAAGTCAATGGCGAACTGGGCTCAGGGGGCAGGCTGGTGTAAGCCTTCCGAGGGAAGCATACTGACTGGCCAATGGCCGATGCAAAATGCAACCTTGGAGCAGCCAAGCCTTAAACGACACCAGTTTCCTGAAGGCCAGGCCTGCCTTTTGAAAGGCATGCTTGTCCGCCGTCTTGGGGATGTCCTCCCCTCACCCCCTCACCCCCCGGCTAAAAATCTTAGACACGCCCCTGCACCTGACCCGCGCCTCCGTTACGCGGGGTTACGACGAGGCATGGGGACCATCGAACACTGACCAGGTACTCTGGCGGTCTAGAAACTAAGGCTACAGCTTATTGACAATGGGCTTACAAGGCGGTAAGTGAGAGTTGATGCTACTCGCCTGTCTTTGGACCAGTCAAGTTGTATTTGAAATGGCGTCAACATTGGGTAAGGATTGAACCGAATTTCTGTGTGAAATGTCATGTGTGCACTTCCAGTTTTTGCGATTACTTAGCTCAGACATTGGGCTTTCAAAAATTGCACAGCCTATACGCATGCAGCAAGGATAGCTTCTCCCCCCCCCCCAATATCTAGCTTTTATTCTTGAAACATGCCTTAGCCCTTGACCTTCTTCGCTCCTTTTACCAACGCGTACTGATGGGATAGGGGTTGGGTTAGTGGGACTCCCTCCCCTGCCGTTTCCAACTTATCAGAACTTAGGGTGTCTTATGACGTCCAACTTATGACGTCATTAATCAGAAGGCAATTTTGAAGTTGGCTGTAAATAAGCCTTTTCGTACTTTGCGGGCGTGTAACTCAGGGACCAGAGCGTTTTGGACGTTGAAAAGGGCATATCCGTGAACTGCATCAAAATATCCTTAAGAGGGCGATTTCAGTTCAAAACGTCATACACATGTGGAACATTCCCTTTAAGTCTAAGAACATTGATATGCACTTAATGTGTTTTGAGCTCATGCAGTATGTAAGGTCAAAACATGTCATGTACTTGATGTGTTTTGAGCTCGATCTCACGCAGTAAGGCTCGATTAAAGGAATTGTTCCACATTTATATTGGTTTTGAGCTGAAAAAGTCACCTTGAAACCTTCCGGTGCTGTTTATAATCCTGCCCTAGTTAAAACCTAATTTCCCTTAGTTTTTGAGCTATACGCTTGCGATAATGGAAAGAGTATTTCGGGGAGAGTATGTTGAAGTCACCTTGGCATTCATGATGGCATGATGACACCATTTAAGTCCTGCCGTTATCCTGCCAAATCCATCATTTCTCAGCCATGCGGCGATTAAGATCAAAAATATAATTTTCGAGGCGATCATATTTGGAGATCGTGAGCGTGATTTCCAAACATAACGGCTGTCAACTGGCCCTCAGTCAATTTTCTGCAAGGTACGATGACGTAATTTAACCATGACGCATCGGGGAGCATGTTTACTAAACAAAGCATTGTGCCGTCTAGAGCAGTCTTTTCCACTGAAAAGTATACCAACAGTCATAACTGAGCCTGTTTCCCCATACCTGATGCTTGCTTTAATACCTTCAAATGTGAAACATTTCCTTTGACGTGACAGTGTCGGCTCGCCGCGAGCGGTCGGTAGATTCTCCCGGCTCTCGCCCACCACCCGCACTGGCCGATGATCACCAGACAGTGTTCATTAATAACGTCACTGCTTGGAAAAAAGAAAAGCTAGAGACGATTTGTACCTTCAAAACTCGCGCAATGAATGTCCAATATGCTTCACAATTTTGAAAGCAATTACACGATGTGACGAAGAGATATCCCCAGAAAACCCTCATGGGCGTCGCATCGACCCCCCTCTCTTCCTCTATCAGGGCGAGGGTTAATTCTCCAGATAGTTGTGAATTTGAACGGCGTTGTTTGCTTACCTGTTCAGGCGATATAGCGATGCCTGAGAGATTTGTACACGGTGAATTTCATGTTGTCCAAGGCCCGTGCCGCCCGAAAAATCAATACTTATAACAGTCAGATCACTTTAGAAGGGGCTGAACCCCTTCCGTTTGGAACTTCGTTAACCAGCTTTGCAATACACCTCAACTTGTTTGAGTGATGTTTTAGGGGATGCTTGTAAAGCTAACAAAACAGGCAAGCACCACGTGTCGTGACGAGGTGGTTTTGACAGCTGTGAAGCCCGCATTTCTGAGCGCTCGCCATCTGCGATAAGCGCCAAGGACAGGGCCTCGTAGCCAGATGAGCTTTCCCAGGAAGGTTCATCACGATAAACTGGGATAGAGCGGACGGGGGTCTTTGTCAGGTCAGCGCGGAGACGGATCAGTAGGAGGCGTCACGGAGAGACGAGAGAGCAGCGCGGGAGAATCCAAACACCAAGGTCAGGTCAGGTCAGGGACAGCGGGAGCCTTGCGGAGTTTCAGCAGGCAGGGACAGCCTGACAGCTGACGTCCGCTCCGGTGACGTTGAATTCTGTCATCGAACACCTGTGGCAAGAACATGGCTGCGGAACGGGGAAGTGGAAGCATTCTTTGCGCCTTGGTCGCCCTCACGGCAGTGGTGACCTCGCAGGATCACGATGACCTCCATGCGTGTCTCGTCTTTACTGGAAGGGCTGCAAGCTTTGAGAGGTCCCACAATCAACACAAGAGCGTTGTGTATTTCGATCGTTTTGCGTGGATGTCAACTGAGTTAGAGTGCATGCTAATGAGAGGCTCATGTTGATGCATTTACTCCACCAATCACGTACCATCACAGCAGTTCAAAGGATCCCCTGTCCTCAACCTGATGTTGACCTGCCAAACGTTGGTTTGCCCACAGCATAGTTTTTCCTGGAACAGTACAAAATTGGGGGTAAAGTTTGTTATTACACCAAGCCTACGTCCATTGGGTATTCTGTCGATGGTCATGACTGGTGTACTCAAATGAGGATCTTTTTCATAGAATAATGATGTAAACAGAAGGAGTAAAAATATACCGCTCAAACAAGCGGCCGATTATGAAATGAATTATGTTAAGATGGTGAACTCAAAAGTTGCTGTTGCTCAACATAACTTGACTTAATTCGTTAAGAAACACACGCTCCGAGGAGACGCGGTTGTTGGGGTCTCAGCCCCCTCCCCCACCCACCCCCACCCCTTAAATCTTTCGCACAAATCGATGTGAATGACGTTAAATGTTTGTGGATGCCTGGCTGAAACCGGGCGGCGGGATTGGTATTGAGGCTCCTGACTCACTGTCCAGCAAATTTTGCCCTGGCGTACTTGGACCAGCTCCCCGACACAGCTTTTTCTGTCATCTATTGCGGTTATGTGGACAGTGGCATAACCACACATTGGTCTGTCACTGTCCTCTGTCACTGTTATTCATAGGCCCCGCCCGTGCCGCTGCTTGGAAATCTCTGTCCAGGGCCAGGCTGGTATGCAGACTGATATTGGCGGCCCCCGACAGTCATAAAGGCCCGCTATTCTCATTTGGTGATCTCAAGAGGCCCTTCGATCGGTGCAAGAGGCCCTCTGCCTCGGTTGTTAGGGTCTCAGCCCACCCCCACCCCCACCCCACACCCTAAATCTTTAGTATAAATCGATGTGAATGACCTAAGTATTAAACGACTGCATCGAATAAATCATTGGTGCAATCCCTCTAACAACAGATAACTGGACCCTTTCAAAACCGTTAGCGTAGTCAAGGGCGCTGCTAGAACTTTGATGTTTTTACAGAAGCATCGGAAGCATCATGTCTTGAACACCAGCGTATATCGAAGCGGGTAAAACAATTTGTATTGACATGCCGAACACCTGGTCGCCTGGAGATGCTCATTCATTCCTCGGAGTCGATTAGTGAAAAAGCCAAATAGTGATGGAGACGCAGTCTCATTCTTGAGCGCAAAAGCACCGGCGCCCGGCGTTGCAGTCTCCATGCGCCGGCCAACGGTCGGTCCAAAAAGGGCCATACATTGGGAAGTAATGTTTTGCAACGGCTTATAACATCAATTCGTCGGTGTGGAAGTTAGTGAGGACAATGTGATTCACAGGTGCTGCGATATAACTAGAACTGCGGGGCGCCGCTGCTGGCCCCTCTTCTTGTTTTATTATCATTATTATTATCATTACTGTTGTTATTTTTATTGCTAACCTTGGCGAAATCCAGCGAGTGTCCATTCTAACGCCGGGTCAGTACATATTACGTAGATAAACACGGAATACGCAACACATGCAAATGTGATGCAACGCCAGCGATACACATACGATGTTATAAAACATGAGCGACTTATAATTCAATCAGCACCTGCACATCATGCCCAGTTGGTCAATTTATGTCTAAGATTAATCTAAGACTGGAGCGTGTTCCTTGGGTGTCCTGGCTGCGCCGCTGCCAGCCCCTCTTCTTGTTTTTCACTATTTGCAGTTAAAAATACCCACTTTACCTTTCCAACATGATGCAAGTTTTCCCTTGGCTGTTATCCTGGTTTCCCAATTATTTGTTGTCATTTGTTTCCTCGCCTTGATTTCGTGGCGGCTAAGCAGCGGACCACACGTCTACCACAACTCTACGAAGATTTAAGTTAATATTGGCTTATAATATTCTTACTACATGACAAAGCACGTGTTCTATGGCGGTGCCCACGACGCCTCGCCTCTGGACAATGATCGCGTGCCGTTTACGCCGGTGTCATCCTGCTTGGCAGGGGAAGATGCAGCTGGTCGCGTGGCTCGCGGCGCTCCTCCTCCTGTACGTCCACGGGAGCCGAGCGAGCAGCATCGCCACAAGCGAGCAACCAGCGGCCACCACCGCGACGGCAACCAGCACCACGACGACAGGCACCGCCACCTCAACCACAGCCGCCACCACGCTGGACTGGGACGCCATCTGTCGCACGCTCTGTGCCATAGGAGCCGGTGGCGAGCAGTGCCACTGTTTTCCGCCGCCGAGGGCGTGAAGCGAACGAGGGTGCAGGCAGACTCTGTGCTGCGCAGACCACGCCAGACTGCGTGCTACACGGACCACACCAGATTGCATGCTGCGCAGACCACGCCAGCCTGCGTGCTGTGCAGCCGTGCTGGACCGCGCGCTGTGCAGACTGTGCTGGAGTGCGTGCTGCGCGGACCACAATGCCAGAGAGCGTCTTTCTTATCAGCCGTGATAGTGTGGGGAGTCAACACCAATATAAGCTTCTGAGGTAATGAGCCGGAATTGGTGTTCGTGTTTGATGTTATTGCTATCAGCCATTGGGCTACAAACTGTCCTATGTTAACTTATGTTTGAGCGCACCATGTTCACAATTATTTTGAACGAAATTGATCCTATTTCACGTTTTTCATCGGGATTGAGTGCTGCATGCCAACTGCCCCTGACACCACTATGTCCTGGACGCGTGATAGTGATAATCAGACTCTGGGCCTCGCCGCCATTTGCCAAGAAGTCTAGGTAGCTTGCTTCTGCTTTGCTGCATAGGAATCAATGTCAACTGCCTCATGATGGCCGTATAAATCGATGCAATCGTGCAGTTTTATTCTATAGCTACATTCAGTAAACTGGGATGTTAAAACGGCATGTTTGCTGAACATCAGAACTGCGTCATATGGACGTCCAACCCAGCGTGTCTCACTGAGGTGAACATGCAGCATATCACCCCAGGCGCAGCAGAACTGGGTCACTTAGGTCCATTTCTGTTTTTCTCGCCATAGACGCAAGAGCCGCGCCACCGAGAGGGCGGGAGATTCGTCCCCCTCTATCGTCAGATAGGAGCGGGATAGTCTACGCTCTCCTAAAACCCTGCTTCTTGTAAGAGAAAACATACATATATTTTTGCTGAGAAGTCGTACCCTCATTATTACCAGAGTGGTGTTCCCTTACATATGTTCGCTTACAGAGGATTGCATTGCTGCAAAAGTGCACGGACCACTCTGCCTAAGGCTTTGTTCCGAGATACGTTCGAACCCAAAGCGTCTGACGACCTTCAATGTAATATTTCTCAAACATTGCACGACCTCTGAAGGTCGTGCCATGTGATCGCGGCCGCCAGGACAGGTCACCATGCGGACAGGTCAGGTCAGCCTACCTCCAGCTGCTGTACCAACAGGAACTTCCAAAGTACTCGTGTGCTTATGTGAAGAGGAAGTTACCTTTTGTGCCACAGGATCAAACGGATTTGCGATTTTCATCTCAGTGCTGTCAATAATCATTGCCTCATCTGACTGTCAACATGGCTTGCAAAGTGATGTTCCCCAGACTGCGATAAAGGACAGACACCCAAGTGCTGAGAAAGGAGTACACAGGGGACATGAAGATTTCAACCACCATCCGGCTGAACTTCCTGATCACTAATAATAAACAATCCTAAGGAAACAGCACGCAACAGCGTTTCCCATAGTTTGAGCGCAGTAGCGCACTCGGTGGCCAACTTCATCGCTTAACAGTCTGTACGTGAACGTGATATGCCCTTGACAAGAAACCTTGTGACGTGTTGAACCTTTTCAGTTTGTTAACAAAGTTTTCAACTGAAAACAAATGACTGCTTAGTATGAGTAGACTTTTCAGTTGGTTGTACATGTTTCGTTCGGTTATACAGGTTCAATAAGGTTCAGAAGCACGGCAAAAGCCTTGGTAATGGAGGAAGGACAGGGAAGAAAAAGGGTCCCCCCATGGCGAACGGCCATTCTCCCCCCCAAAAACTGGACTTGGCCCGCCTAACAAAAAATTGCAACTATATTTTTATCAACAAGTCAATAAACTGAGGAAAGAGGACGTAAAATGATTGTGTGGGATTGACTGACAGAGCTATTCACTTTGCAACGGCTCGGTGAAAATCGGAGGATTTGCCAAAGTTGTTCTAGGTTCTACAGAGATAGTAAGGATCCTTGAACGCAGGTTACAAATGAAAGTGGAGTGCCCAGTTTGTATCAAGATGGCTAACCCATGCTGGTCTGAGAATGTTTAACCCTCGGTCAGAACTGGTGGCTGAGAAAAGCTACGCCAACATTGTATAGAGCATGCACGCTCGCAAGTTTTAGAACTCACAACTGGACGCCTGAGGTATGATTATATGTTGTTCCAACATACATGACGGAAGCGGTGTCATCTGATACGAAATCGCAACGGTGGACAAATAGCAGAAACAGAATCGTTAGTCTTGGATTCTCATAGAATGTGGTCGTCCGAATACTCTGAGAAACTCTTGCTGTCATGCGGTAAAGACGTCTTTGCCGTAGCTTTGGATCACCGTGCACGCATTTAGAAAGCATACCGCACTCGATCAGTGATCACTTATCTCTTTCTCGGCTGACGTTTTATGAGGACTCATGGATCAAAAGCGCTCATGGGTCAGAAGCAGACATCGGGTAAGGAAGTGCCATTTATTTTCATACTGGAGACATAACCAATAACGAAACTATAACTCGCGACCTTATGCTCGCCTGCAATGAGCATAGAAGTCTTGCTGATGTCACCGCACTTGACGAACGAGAAGCCGGAGAACGCACTTGTACGTCTGTCATGAGGATCTCGCAGAGAAGGGAGGGCAACTACCCCCACCCGTTCATTTCTTCAAAACTTCTTGACATCTTGGAGTGTCTGCGGAGGCCACGTCAGCGACACTCGTTGTAGCACGAACCGATGCAGCAGGTGCTCTTGTACTGGTCGATGCAATCGTAGTTGGTGTAGCACTGGTGCTGGGGTGGGTAGGGGCAGTTCACGCCCACTTTCCACCCGTAGCACTTCCGGAGGCCAGAGCCGGACACCATCACAGAGACGGCCAACAGGAGCAGACCGGCGAACAGCAGGAACTTCATGGCTGGTGTGTGATGCCTCTGGGCCGGAGAGATCTTTTGTACTTGTCCAGCCGGAAAAAAACGCACGCTTTTTCTGGCAGTTCCGCTGATCGCACAACCGGCTGCAAGAAGCAGTGATAAAATATTCAGGCGAATAAAGCTACACAACCGCCCTGTCACGTGATTGCAATAACCTGCCAGTGAAACTCGGAATTGCCCCACCAGTATTTGTCGTCATGCATATCACGCCATGACCATATTTGCAGCTGTACCCTCATCGCAGGAGCGGCGGCATGCATCGCACGTGACTCGTTAAATGATGTCAGGGGATGTTGAGCCCTAGCGTGGCAGACGCGTTGGCTATAGATTTGAACTGTAGCTGTCTGGCCGTTTGGCAATGCATGTAAGCTATTTGGGGCCATCAACGTCACCTTTTGCATCACTCATTTCTGTGCGAAGGCATTTGTTGAGCTTCCACGAACTCTGTCAGAAGATTTATGTTTGCCATGGTAATGGCTGGAAGAGCGCTGTTGCAATTCAAATGACCGATGTGATGCAACTAATCTACGACAATGGTGTCATTTTCCTTCCTCGGATCCACAACGGTTAACCTGATTGCATCCAAGCCTGTCGCCACGTGTCGCGTGCAGTGGAACTGGGACCTCCTTCTGTTTGTAGGGAAAAAGTTGGCGGGCACGCTTTCACGGCTTTGTAGATTCCACAAACCGTGACACAATCGGTTTTTCCAGTTGCCCTGGGTATCTGAGAATGACCCGCCGTTTCCAGAATATCACCTGACTTGCCAGCATTTGTCGCATCACGACACTTTATGACGCGGCCCGGTGGCTATCCTTGACTAGGCCCGCTTCCAGAGAGTGCTGCGGTCCACTTTTCGGCGGCATATGATCCAAGATACACAAAGATGATGTTAATGAACTTAAGTTGCCGCAAAGGCCGTTTAGCGTAGCCACACTATTTTCCTGTAAATTTTGGACACGCCCACGCTTTTGCATCCCTTTGGACCCGGAATAACTCCGCGCATGCAGGCCTGCGCATCTTCAACATTACGACATTACCATCGAGAGCTGTATCTCCAGAGGTTGTCAATAGAGCGCCTGGCGAATCGATCGATCCACCGCGATCCGGATCGACAAGGCGGCCAGTGGAGCCGGCACGACAGCCGGTAGGTACTCGGGACACTGGGACGGAAGAGCCCTCAGGCACTGAATGGGGAAGGTCATATGCCCATAGTGTTCTATCCTCCCCCTGCTGGGAAGGGTGAGGGGTTCTCCGGAAGTTCATTGGGGTGGGTTGGACGCGTGTCAAAACTTGTTTTGACAAGGCCAACGCATGCCTGCCTTAGAATGTTCGCCCTTTTTCGGAATCGACTAGTTAAATAGCTATGTGGAATATTTTTGGGCATGCGTGCTCGCATTTTTAAGAAGTTACGCTATCGATGCCCGGTTTTGAAGTTTCTGTCGAAATCAGTGCCGTTGGCTGCTGCAGTCAGTATTAGATGGGCGGCGATGGGCGTACGAAACACACCATTCATCCCATTTGTTCCTTTGAAAAGATAAGGCTAATGCGTATATTTCACGCATACAGCTTGGACGCCCATTCTCCGGCCGGGCTAGTAGTTAGAACGACACAACCAATGAAGATTTAGTGATTACGTCGGGAGTTATCGGTGCTCTAAATACCAATCCGCGCACAAGGTCTCTAAATTCAACATCAGAAATATTCGGCGTGGGATAACCTATACAAACTGGTTTTATTTGAAGAACTGTCTTGACGTATTATGAACCGATTCGCGGTCGTTTTCGTCCGACCATTAAGAACCGCATAATGTTAATTGCGGCTGACGCCGCGCGGTCTGTAGAGACTGCAACGCCAGGTGCCAGTGTTTTTGCTTCTTGAGTCAAGAGCGCGCTTAGTCAAAATTGATTTAAGCGATTACTTTCAGTTGTCCAGTCTGGCAAAAGACTGAGCATCTCCAGGCGAAGATGATTTGGCCATGCCACTATAAATTGTTAGCTCATTTCGATATACGATCTACGTTTCATGGACCATGGACCAATGGACTATGGTCCCTGAATCCATCCAAATCTATGAACCAGTCAATATCTCTGTTGGACCCCCGAAATTCCTGACTTCGCTCCTGACTGTTATGGGTTTACAAATACCACACTGCACCAATTAAACGTTGATAGCACAGAAACTTCATTTGAAGCAGTCATTAGATAGCTAGTTAGTTATCATTGTTGGTTTCTAAATCTGGGCAAATTTGTAGCATCTGATTCCCTCAGTCTAGGCTGTTCTGGTTAAAAAGGCGGAGAGAAAAATCAACGAAGAAAACGAAGCAACTTGGCATCTCTAAATCAAGTGAGCCGAATCCGGTGATTTCTCTTTGAGCGAGGGGACATTAGCCAACGGAGGGATCTTCGTCAACCGCTGTTTCATCTTCCAGACGTTAACAGCGATCTTTTGATCACTCGGGCGCAAACCGGCGGGATTTAGGGTGCCCTCTTGTTGTTTAGAGTGCTAGCATCTCTCTTGGCCTCAGGAGCGTCTGCAAACTTGGGAGGCGCCCTTTGATACATCGGAGAGGGGTTTATTTGTTGCTCGCACGTTTCTTATTGAGGTCATACCTTCTCATACTCATAACAAGATACGGAGAAGTCGGACGAGTCCTTGGGCCAGATGAAGGACGGATGAGAGGCGGCCTTTAGAAAGAAAATACTGTATGTTAGCAACAAATCATAGACAATTTTACAGCAGCGAATTATTGGCGCATCACCATCCACGATAGTCAGATTACGACACACACAAAATCAGCATTCGTTGACCAATAGATTGACTACCAGATCGAGCTTCTAGTAGTAGACGCCGAAGCCGTTGCCGCCGTAGCTGCCGTAGCTCTCTGGATCGGTGGCCGTACCGCCGTAGCGACCGTCGTAGCCGTTCCAGTAGTTGTTGTAGCTACGGCCCGAGCTGGAGTACCCGCCCAGCGGGCCGGCGAATCTGCCAATGAGCCGCACAGTCAAGGACAGTGCCGATGTTTTCGTACGCGGTGTCCGCTGGCTTCCATACGCAATTGGTAGTCTTAGCCGGAACGGGAGACAGGGAAGTATTCCATTGCAACAGGGTAACTGAGCTGAAAAAGTGAAAAAAGTAAACTCAAACGGAGCAGCTGACCACAAATAACAGCAAAATCTCAAGGGTTTCGCAAGATTACGTTTTTGAACTGTAAATCGCAACACGCTGTTCGTCACTGAGCCCACATGCTGACATTGAACTCAAGCAACAAAGACAACCATTTAAGTGGAGTATGCGTATCACATATTGCCATAACATGAAATACAGCATGCATCAACAGGCATCACATAACAGGCATTATGACGGCACATACAAACGTGTAGGGTTGTTATGTCTCACATGTGTCATGACAATACATGGCATGATTGCAATGAACACTTTGGCTCTAATTCATAATGTGATAGAGGACAAGAACTAAGTCATCAGGGATCAAGCTCACTAGTGGTATCGCCCAAACATCCAAGCACATCGTCGTCGTCATTCGGGCTTTACGATGAAGCCTGCTGCCGAGGCTGTGTGGCGTCACCTGCCTCTCACGCTGGCAAGAAGGCCGGGCACGGCGGGGAATGAAACCCCGTACCTCTGGTTTCACAGACGCGCGGCGGTTACCGCAGATCAACCACTTCACTATCACGCTACCGTTTACGACGTTTACCACTACACCATCGGCATGGCTATCTAAGAACTTCTTTATGAGCTTAGATAGAGGTTCCCACAGTGTGCCGTTAGTGTCTAAGCACATATGTGTATAGACCTTGACATAGCCAACGAGGGACACGCCATAGCCAAGCATACAACTCACGTCTCTTCATAGAAGCCAGCGAAAAAAAGATGATATGCTCTCAGATGTACTCTGACTGTCGGGTCCAGGTCCCATTTGGCTAGATACGTTCCTGTTCGATTTTCTTGCATAATTCAGGTTAGGCGTTTCGTTGGTGTTGAGTATTGAGTAAAATGTAGTCATTTCCGGCCTATGTGCAGGGTGCACCTGGCTGGAGGTCAAGGACTCGACAGACCCAACAGGGCGCAGAAAAATAATCTGTAAGTCCAGTACCGCTCCGACCTGCACAGCAGAAATTAGCACGTACCCTCCAGCGTACCCTCTGAAGCGGCCGTCCGGTCCAAGTCCGCCCAGCCGTCCGTAGCGTCCGTAGCCAGAGTAGCCGAGGCCGAAGCCACCGAGCAGGCCCTGGTCTGCCGTCTGCGCCAAGCAGAGGGCCACCAGGAGGGCCAGTGTCAGGCCGAATACGACTGCTCGAGACATGACGGAGCTGCGGTTGGGCTGAGCTCGGGGTGAGGTGCAGGTGTGTGTGTGGTGATGCCGACACCCAACACCGCTCTTATACCCGCCCGCGGGGAGCCGACCCCCCAGCGCACGTTCTCCCACGGCTGACGCCTCGGGGCATCTAAGACCATCCGGTGTCCCTCGACATGCCCGCCGACTCCATGTGGGGTGAGCCGACTGTCCGTGACCTCTGCCGATCGTTCAACAGCAGCGCCCAGGGCCAGGTACTGTCTGCGGTCAGCTGTGTGCTCCCTGCCGGGTCCCGGAGACCGGCAGAGAGACGCCTGAGACCCTGCACAACCCATGATCCTACCGCTCACGCCTAGGGGCTGTTGTCGAACGATCAACGGGAGCCACAAGGATTCGGCGGACACGCTGATGAGCCCAGATGGTCTAAGACATTCAGAGGCCGGGGTGCAACATTGCATCTCTGGGGAGGGGGGGGGGGGGGGTGGCATGCCCTCCATGTTGAGTTGGGCTTCCAATGTTGGGCTGGGGCCCGCGATATTGTGCTGGGCCCCCACTACTTTGGCTGGGTCTTCACAATGTGCAGCCTGGCCCCCGGTACCAGAAGTTTTTTGAAGTAAAGATTATTGAATATTTTTTAGGGACTCATAATTTGGTCGCATACAACTACACTTACAAAACACAGTATACATAACACGAGCGGGCAGGCGTTTGGGCTCATTGAGGAAGCATCTGCCTCGACAGCGTAGATGCCAAAATAAGGCCCAGATATAGGATGGTGAAAATTTTGAAAGTGGACCGATTGCTCACAGTGCGGCAAATTTTTTTGTGCGCCTTCATTTCGCTGGCTGCTTTTCAAGAGATAAGACTTGTCGCAGCATTTAGGCGGAAACAAATTCGGGAGCTTGAAACTGCTAGAAACAATGACAAAAGCCATTATACTGGAGGTTCTCTTTTAAGAATTAAGTCACATAATCAGGCCCATCTGTCATATGTTCCTTATCTGGACCCTGCTCCTGACCGCCGGTGGCCACTGCACTGGCCCGGATGCCTCAAGCATGACTGACTGCGAACTGATCGTATGGCTGCTTTGTTGCATACTTTTGGATCAGCGTCACTACTACATGTTGTATGAAACATGTGCTGGACAGCTGCAACAGTATCTTTTTCCGAATTATCTTCTCTCACACCACACCATCGCAGAAAAATAGCCTCCAGGCAGCTGCCTGCCTTAGGTAAGAATTGGTCCGACGGACACTTCACTGCCAATCATGCAATGTATACGACTTGGCCTGCTTTTGTGTGTAGACAGGGGCGTAGCCAGAGCCTTTGCAAGGCCGACAAAAGCCCATCTTATGGTGATACCCCCCCCCCCCCAAAAAAAACGGCTATGGCTTACTTGTTAACTAGTGACACCGTTTCCTTCGTTTTAGTGTTATTTTTACCTTGAAACCAAAACAGAAACCAAGAGCTACCGTGAGCTCAATTCTGTTCGTATTTTGAGGTAAATAAACTGCAGAAATCAGGCGCTGAACGACTGAATGGAGTAAATCACCGCCGCTCTTAATTTTCAATGGTTAGCTGACTCCTTCCAAACCGATAAAATTCAGAAGCCTTGTCAATTTTTTTGTTTGAGCTCGAAAGACATTGAGGACATTGTGAAGGTAGATTGTAGATCGATGTGTTTGATTTAAATTTGAAGATGACAAATTGATTGCAGATCGAGTGATCAACAAGGTGTATTAACATGGCCAAGCCAAGTTTATCTGAAAATATTCACCATTCAGCCAGAATCGATTAGTGATACGATTTATGTAACGTGCCTTTTAGCATGCGCGCTTGCAAATCTTAGCAACAAAAACCTCGACACCAGGCGTTGCAGTCTTCGTAGTCCGCGGAGCGTTAGCCCAGTAGTGAATATTTAGCCGTGGCCCACCGGTGGATGAAAATGATGACGCTTCTGAAAAAATTGCCTTTAAACACTATAATCGGCAAGTAATACAAGTTGTGTGATGTAATTTTGAGAATGCGCACTCGAAAATCTTACGAACACAAGCCTCGACCCCAGGCGTTGCAGTCTCCGTAGGCCGCGCAGGGTCGGTCTAGCAGTTAATATTAAGTTGTGGCCAACGTGTGGACGAAAATGACGACGCTTCTGAAAAAGCATCCTTGAACGTTTCATGGCATCCGATGTTGTATTTAGAAGACAGTCTGAACGCATATTTCACGTGTGCAATTTTTAGACTGATGAAGACAACGGATTGGCCCCTAAAGCACCGTGAAGTGGGGCTGGAAGCTGGTGGTTTGCTCTCGAGGTTGCGGGCGTGCATGCTCAAGCCTTTTGATGTAATTTGCTTCAAAAATGCGTTCTGAAAAATGAGCGTTCTCAGGCAAACATGGCATGACTTTGCTCGTTTTTTAAGCTCATTTCGTTCCACCCTATTCAACAATAATGAGACACCCATTGACTCAACAATAATGAGACTTCTTTTTTCCTTCCGGGCAAGCGGCCTCTTGAGTAGAACACCAGGGGTACATTACCGTTTCCGATCAAGGGTTAAAGGACCATTCCGTTACATTGCAGTGTCTTCTGGCTACTATTCTGGTGACACGGGGGGGGGGGGGCGGATCTCCTGGTCGCCCCGAAAGCGTTTAGAAGGATATATTATATCACGTTGTTCCGATCCCTGACACGGGAGTCCTTCTGACCCGCGCACTTGGCCCCGGATCAGCACAGGAACCCTTATTAACGCAACAACATCCCTTATCACTGCAGGTAGCCCGATGGTTGTCACACAGACTCCAGTTCCCTGTTTTTCTGTGTTTTTCAGGGATATTGATTTGATTTGATTTAATTTTTTTAGATTTTTACTTCTATGCCGTTTCCCAAGAACAGGAAACCAAGAGTGCCCCTCCATCAATCCCAGCGACACAGTAGACCGTACGTTAACACCAGAAAACATAAAATCAGGTCGCGGCGTTCCCAGCTAGGAAGATGAAACAAACGTAAAGAAGCAGGCGAAGGGGTGGTGCAGACCCGAAGGAATTGTGTTATGTAATAGGCAGGGAAAATCATAGATGGGAAGGCTTAAAGTAGTCATTAGCCAAAGTCAGCTAATGACAGCCGCTATAACCGCCCAATAAGCTACAACCACTCAATTCACAGTGTCAGTAGGGGCTATACAGTCACACAAGTCGGAGGGGGCATTTACCCGGTCATTTTCGTGCTGGGTTTTGAGCTGGATGTCCAGGGAGTCCACCCAGCTAAGCAGAGCTTGTTGCTGGGAGAACTCCCGGAGCCAGCGCCGTGAATTTGGGTATATGTGCATGACTTTAACTATATCAGAAATTGATTATGGAACATGAAGAAGGTCAAATATGAAGTGCGTTGGGTATGTGCAGCCCAAAGGATTGCAATGTCTTCAAATATGTTGGCTGCGTTGATACGTATTCACGAAATGCCTTGCGGATGATATTCTTAACGATGGTTTTTGATACAGAGATATCAGTTGTTCTTGGAAAATAAGAAACCATAATGTCGTTCCACAGTTTAGAGCCAAGGCAAGATGCGGTAAATAGTCTATAATTACGATTAAAGAAAGGTTGGTCTAAATGTTTTGCTCGCCTCACATCCATGTCATTTGATTCGTAGGGCTTGTAAATTAAATCGAATGATGCAGGGAGCTGTGAAGTTGCAAATTTGTGCATCACAATTAGCATTTGGGATTTAGCAATATCCGATAGTTTCAAAACTTTATATTTTTTAAAGATTGGCTCTGAGCTTTGTTGAGGATATACACTTTCTATAAGACGCACAGCCTTTTTTTGCAAAATTACCCACCGATCTAGTTGAGAAGCATAACTTATACCCTAAATCAAGCAGCAATAATCTAGATGAGGAAGAATCGAAGTGTTATAGAGTAGATGTGACGTTTTATCAATAAAGCACCTAACCCTACTTATCATTCCAATATTTCCACTTAATATGCTTGAAACAAAATTAATGTGGCTTGTAAATTTAAGACATTTGTTGTTGATTACGCCAAGGTATCTCATTTCTTTTTTTCTTCAATAGGTGAATTATTAAGTTGCACATTTAGTTGCAAATGCGAAGAAAAGGTAGTGTAATGCTGTTTGAACGCTTTTGATGCGTTCAGGGAAGAAAATTAGCAGCAAACCAGGAAGTTATTAGAAGCAAAAGCGTATTGCCATTGTCTTGAAGTTCAACAATGCCTTTATTTTTTGAAGCAATCGCGGTATCATCAGCGTAAGACAGACAAATCATGTTAGTGCTTAATTTAGACAAGTCATTTATGTACATTAAGAAGAGAATTTGGCCGAGAATGGATCCTTGGGGTACTCCCATTGTTACGTTTTTGATTGTTGATAGATAATTCCTGATTTTTACACATTGAGTTCTGCCAGACAAATAAGAGGATATTATTGCATGAGATTTTCGTCGAATACCATATTTAGTAAGTTTACGTAGAAAAAGGTTTATTTTTGCAGTGTCAAAGGCTTTTTTCAAATATAAATACGAACCTAACACATATTCTCCGCTTTCAAAAGCCTTAGTGATAGTTTTTTGCAGAAGAAGAATTGTCATGTAAGTACTTTTGTTCTTCTGAAATCCGAACTGGTTTTGGTGAATTAGTTGGTTTTGGTTTAGATGAAGGACGGGTCTATTATATATAAGTTTTTGGAGAGTTTTGGACATAAACGGCAAAATACTGATGGGTCTGTAATTATTTACAAATTGTGAGTCCCCACTTTTAAAGATGGGTCTTATCAGGGCTTTTTTGGAATTATTTGTGATATAATATGATGCTTAATTATATAATACATCATTAGATAATATAATATAACATGATATAATATAATGATATAATATTAAGAAAACTATATCCTTGACTGTAGATTGTAGATGAAATGACGTTTCTAGTTTGTATTAACATGACCAACCCATGCTTGTCTTAAAATGCTCAAGATCCTGTCAGAGCTCATCACTGATA